AGGCCACGGCGGCATCCGCGAGGTGACACCAGGCCTGAGGGCGTAAGAACTGGTGGCCTTGGGGGAGGGGCGCCTCAGACGGAGGTTACCCCCGCGTGGAGGGAGGGGCCCAGCCGCGTGGGAGGAGCCTGCCTACGGGACGTCCTCACGGTGGCCCACTGGCCTCCTCGGGCAGGTGGCGACCAGCAGTACTGCTCGCTCATGGGGCAACGGTATGCACCACGTTTTCTGTTGCCGTCTCGTTGAGTCACGAGAGTGAATCCGGTAGCTGCTTCTGAGAACTGTAGACTTTATAACACAGGGAACATTTGTTTCCTCTGTTGAGAAACTAGAAACTTTTAATAAAATGTACATTTTGTAGATGCCGTTTTGGGTATGCTTTATGGGAGCCTTTATAAATGCAAAGTCGACTCACTACACTACCATGAAAGATATAATTCTGTGAACACATTAGCCATCTATTAAGTCAGAAATGTGTATAGACTCCTTAATAATGGTTCTATTTTAGAGATGAAAAGAGGAAATTTATACACAATTACATCACAAATCTTAAAAATTTATTTTAACGAGTAATATGTTTTCCATATTGATAATTACTGGCCACAGTAAATTATTATAACTAATAATTGGCGATTTTTTCCTCCATTATTAGAGGTAAAGTGATAAAATGCTAATTTTTTAAGATTATAAAATCACATTTGCTTGGAGGCTGGGGATTTAGCTCAGTGGTTCGGTGGCCTGCCTTGCAAGCAAAAGGACCAGAGTTCAATCCCCGGTACCAAAAAAAAAAAAAAAAAATCACATTTGTTCATTTGCAAATAATTACAGTAAGAAAATAATCTTAATTACAAAATTTGAGACAATTGTTAGGTTTGATGTGTATATGTTCAGATTATTTGTGTGCTTATATTGCATATAAATAGGTAAATTTTATTTTATAATAGTTGTGTCATACAATACGAGTCTGCATCTTTCAATTAATATAGTTTGGAATTATTCCCAAGATAAATTTAAGGTAATTTTAATGTATAATGTAAGGGTTATACCATTACCTGTTTCATTGCATTTATGGTGGATTATTTTTCAATATTAAAACAATATGGTAATGGATATCCTTCTATAAATATTTTGATATGTTTTACTATTAATTATTTCAGGTAAATTTCCAGAAATGGAATTACTGGTTGAAAGAGCCCCTTTTATGGCAATTAAAAAAAAAAAAAAGTTTAAGCTACCCTTGGTAAAGCATGTACCATTTTATTTCCCTTTTCTCCATTCTTTTTCCAATGAGAGGTATTAAAAACTTTTCTAAATTATCAAGCTAATAATGCAAAACATTTCACTATATTGATGTGCCTTTGAAAAAATTAATTGAAGTGGGTTGTGGTGGTCCATACTTGTAATCCCAGCACTTGGGAGGCTGAGGCAGGATTGCTTTGAGTTTGAGGCTAGCCTGGGCCACATAGCTCAAGGCCAGCCTGAACTACAAAGGGAGATTCTGTCTCAGAATACACACACACACACACACAAAAAAATCATTGAAGTTGAAATTTACCATTAATGTGTTTTAAATTTTTTCATGAACTTTCTGCTTGTGGTGGTTTTTTTGGTTGGTTTGTTATTGTTGTTGTTGTTTGGTTTTTTGAGAAAGGGTCTGTAGTTGAGACTGACCTGGAACTCATTATGTAGCCCAGGGTGGTTTTGAACTCACAGCGATTCTCTTGCCTCAGCCTCCTGAGTGCTGGGATTACAGGTGAGTGCCACCACGCCCAGCTTTCTACTTGTGTATTTTTTATTAATTTAAAGAAATATTAATATTAGCCTTTTATCACACATAGTGAAAAATTCTGTGGTGGTGTTAAGAAGGTGCCTTTACCTTGGTCCTAATTTCAGTGGAAACCACTCTAGTATTTTCACTTTAAGCTCCATAATGAATCAGAATTAGGTTGATAGAAAAATAAGATTCACCTGTTTTCTGTTTTATTCAGCTTTTTAAAAGAAGTAGAAAATGAACACTGTATTTTATCAAATGCATTTTCAGTGATAAAGGAACAGATTTCCTAAAAATGGTCCATCCTTGCATTTCCAATATAAACTATTCAATTATGGGACTTTAAAAATAGGCTGCTGGAATTTTTCATCTTTGCAAATGGACAGGGGTGTACCATCTTGAGGCTATATTTAGCTTTGTAAAATGCATTACATAGTACTAAAAGATTTTTAAGAAGAGTACAGTATTTGAATTTGCCTTTTTCTTCCTCTGCCTCTTCTACCATTATTTCTGATGTCTTGGGTGGTTCCCCTACTCTTGATGTAGGATCGAATATTTGTTATATTAAGATTGTTTTGTAAAAGATCTACATTTTTCTAGAAAGTTGGCTATTTCACTTGAGATTTCCACACTTATTCCCATAGTTTAGATGTTTTTATAATCTATGGTCCTGTCTTCTTTTTCACATGTGATATGTAATTTTGCTCTCTTGCTTATCTTTGCCATTTGCTCATTATTGCTTGAACACCTGCAACTCAAAAATTCATTCTTGGATTTACTTAGTTTTTCTTCTTATTTTCATTTCCTGTTCCTTTAGTTTTAGCCTTTTGAAAAATTAATTTAAGAAAAAAAATTTCCCATTAAGTTTATTGGTACAGGGCTGGTGATTTAGCTCAGTGGTTGTGCTGCCTGCTTCAGAAGTGCAAGGACCCAAGTTCGATCCCCAGTACCAAAAAAAACCCAAACAAACCAAAAAATAGTTTATTGGTACATTTAAAGGAAACATTACAGTTATATTTATCATTGGGATCTTTTACCTTTACATATTATGTTTTGCTTCTTATTTTTTAGCCTTTTTATTCCTTCCTATTCCTATGGATGTAACTTAGATGACCACAAATTATACTTTTTCTTGTTCAATACATCTAGATCTGTTTGCTTACCATGTAGACATAGTTACTGAATTAAATAATATTTTCAACAGTGGTGACATCCCAAGAACTTTAATTATGATAATTTTCTTCAGGTTTTCATTATCTTTGTCATTTGGATATCAAGATACCACAGGGGATATATTACCATAAGTAGCAGTAATAAAAATTACTTGATGAGGGCCTCCAAGCGCATCCTTATTTACTATCCTAACATTTTTCATTTCAAAGCCCACCAACTCATTTGAAGGTATAAGTAATACAAATAATTACATTTTACATTTAATATATTTTATATGGTGGTGGTTATGATCATATTTCAATATCAAACTTTTGCACATCCTGAGCAAAAATATTTATAGAGTGTTTTTGGTGATAGTATAAAATGGTTTCTTGATTATGGATATTTTATATGTAAATTATAGTTATATTCATAGTAGGAATCTTTAAATCCCTGTTTAAATCCTGTTAAAATGGAGTACAGTACTGTACTTTGTTAGCTTTGAGCACCACCTGCTGGCTAAAAACAAGGACGTGGTGGTACCTTAATTTAAGATTACACTGTTAAAGTGATTAAATCAATTTTATGTTTACTATCCCAGTTAAGAAGAGAGCTAATTTATAAGACCTAAGCCAAATCCAGACTTCCTATGCCTTTTTCTCCTCCTTAACCAAATTGCTGTTGCCTCAGACATCCATTTCATTTTTGTAAATAGAATATGAGAATTAGAAGACATCAGAGATCTTTTCTATTTGTTTTTCAAGCAGGGAAGTGGAGGTCCTGAAAAGACTTATTTTACTGAACACTGAAAAGCAAGGTGTTCCCCAGCAGTATTTTTCTCTTCGGCTCTATTAGCACTATGACAGGATTTCTCAACCACATTTCTATTCAAATTTGGGGCCTAGCAATTCTTTGTTTGGGGGATTATCCTTTATGTTGTGGGATGTTTATTAGTATTCTGGCCTTCCATCCACCAGAGGTTGGGAGTGTACCTTAATGTGACAACCAGAAATGTCTCCAAACATGTTAAATGTCTTCCCTGATTAAGTATCAATGCATCGTCATAACCCTTTGTTAACCTAGCAGTTTCTGATCAGATGTTACATCTCAAAGATACATCTATTTGTGGTACAGAAACAGATAGTACTGTAATAGCTCATCAAATAAAAATGTATCCAAATAAAAATTCATCCACAAATGAAGAAAGGGATTAAGGAGAAAAGGAAATCTAGAATTTCAGAACTGTTTTATGTTTGGGATTTTTAATTAACTAATTGAGAAGGGGTTGATAGTTTGTCTATAGTGAAGAGAAATTCAGTCAGATCTCAAGACTCCAGGATAATGTAGCTTATGTAATACATTTTTATTTGGAAAAATTAAAATTACAAGACATTGAAAAGATGAAAAATTAAACCAGGTATGGTGCACACTCCTGTAACCCAGCTACTGAGGAGGCTGAGGCAGGAGGATTACAAGTTTCAGGGCAGTCTGGGCAACTTACTGAGACACTGTCTCAGAATTTTAAAAGAGACTAAAAATGTTGCTTGGTGGAAGAGTACTTGCTTTAGCATTGCTGAACTCTTGGGCTCAATTCCCAGGACCACAAAAGAAGGAAAATCCTAAGAATTGTGTGATACTGTTGCTTCACTGTCATGAAATACTACTCTATCATAATTAAAGGAAAATTAAGTATTCAAATAAAAATACAAATTTTGAATTATGTGTGACTGATTTGGTGTTGCCCAAACAGAAAAACATTTACTTCAAAAGATGCTTTGAACACTGTAGCATCAAGGAAAAGTATAACATCTTTTTGCAAGAGCTGTGATTTGTGAGCAAATAATGTTTTCATACTCCATTTCTAAAGTAAACCAAAAGAATATTAAAGTTGTAAATTTTATTATTTTTGGTGACCAGAAAAGTTAAGCAAAACAAATTGGTTTAAAACTTTGGTGTTTGGTTTTTTTGTTTTGTTTTTATTTTGTTTGTGGTAATGGTACTGGGATCCAGGGTCTTCATGCTGAGTTATATCCATGGCCCTTTTTAAAATTTTTTTGTTTTGTTTTGAGATGGTCTCATAAAGTTGCTGTGTTGCCCAGGTTGGGCACAAACTTGTTGTCTTTTTCAGCCTCCTGAGTACTGGGATCACAAGCGTGTGCCACCACATCTAGCTTGGTGCTTATTTTCTTTTGATGCAGCTTTTTGGGGGGGTTGGGTTTTTTAAAAGACTTATCATGCTTTTTATTAATGTACTTTGCCAAATGGTAAGTTTATTAGTACAGAGCAGAATTATTTTTTTCAGAGCAGAATAACTTTTTACAAATCTGAACTTTTATAACCAATTCATATAGTATTTCTATAAAATATAAAATTAGTATTCTTCCACAGTGTTGTACAAAAGATGGTGACAAGTAACAGTTAGTTTAGAAAAGTGTACTATAGGGCCAGGAATTTAGCTCAGTGGTATTGTTACCTGCCTCGCAAGTGCAAGGTCCCAAGTTTGATCCCCCGTACCAAAAAAATAAAGAAAAGTGAACTATATACTCCTGTTGAACTTTATGCCATTCTCCTCTAAATCCCAAGCCCAAACTAAACTGTACTGGTGACTAATTTACAATGAAGGTGATTTACACAAAATGTTTTATACTTTAAATATAAAAACTATGTTTCACATTGTGTGTGTTTTTTGTATATCTAATTATAGTATCTGCTTTCCAAATTACAGTCTTCTGAGACTCCAAACTCAACCATCTCCAGAGAGGCCAGTACTCAATCCTCATCTGCTACCACCAGCCAAGGCTATGTTTTACCAGAAGGCAAAATCATGCCAAACACCATTTTTGTTGGTGGGATTGATATTAGGGTATTGTATTCATATTTTATTTATATTTTGAAATATGTTGTGAATAATGGGATTTAGGCCCTGTTTTTTATAATTCATGCCAGCTTGAAATTGGTTTTATGTTTAACAAATAGAAACTAAAAATATTTGACCAAGAGCTGTGGGTTTCAGGGCACTTTGGGAAGATACTTCTTTGCCATCAAATCTCCTTTTATAGACTTTAAATTTTTGAATGTTTTAGTTTTTTGTAAAGTCCAGTTTTTTTCCATAGATGGATGAAAGTGAAATAAGAAGTTTCTTTGCTAGATATGGTTCAGTGAAAGAAGTGAAGATAATCACAGATCGAACTGGTGTGTCCAAAGGGTGAGTAAAACATATGTTCACCATAAATAATCAGAAATCTCAACTCTAGCATCTGTAGAATATCAAAAACACAACTTCAAAACTGGTATTCTGACACTTGAATACATGAAATTTGTTGCTTTCTTAATTGCTTTCACACAAAGGATAAGTTTGTTGTCAATTCTTTTACTTAAAATAATTTTCCTAATGTATGTATTTCCTATCTTCATTTCACACAAGTGGATTACTTGCTTTTTTCAAAGAAATTTTTTTGTGCTTTTCACCTTTTTTTTGGTACTGGGATTGAACTTGAGACCTTGTGCTCATGAGGCAGGAGGCGGCACCACTGAGCTAAATCCCCAGCCCCTCACCATATCAAATTTTAACTATTGGCTCTTAGATGGTAACTTAAATTCAAATTCATAGATAAGAATTTTTTGTTAATGAAGTTCCCACACTACTTTAATTTCAGTACACTCTGACATCAAGCTAGTTAAAATAAAAAGCAATGATATTTACAGAGGGTCTGTTATATATACTGTTCAAATATTTATTCAGCATATTATGCATTTTTATCATGACTTTTATTATTTCATAGAATATTAGAATGCTCTAAACCATGTTCTGTGGGTGATGATTTTATCTTTATTTATCTGCCTGTCTAGCTATGGATTTGTTTCATTTTACAATGACGTGGATGTGCAGAAGATAGTAGAAGTAAGTCTTTCTTATGGAAAATTCTCTTAATGCACTATTTAGTGTTAAATATATTCAGTATTGTGTAAAATACAGAGAAAGATATACTTTTGTTCCTGCTTCAAATAAAAACAGAATAATCTTATATAACTTGTCAGAACCTGTTTATTTTTGAGCATCTATCTTCATGACCTAGACACAAGACCAAGTGAAGACAAGGTAGAAGATCTTTTGATCAAATGCTACTTGATACCTGTTGACACTTACAGTACAGTAGTGAGGATAAAGTGGCTTCACGGTGACAAATTTTCATTTGTATGTACTCATCACTTTTTTTCTGATAATAGGGACTTTAGACACCTTGAGGTATTTACCCAAGTCTTAGAAGTAAAGACTTGAAAATTACAGTGTTATTACTGTTTTGTCTTCAGTCACAGATAAATTTCCATGGTAAAAAGCTGAAACTGGGCCCTGCAATCAGGAAACAAAATTTATGTGAGTAAGAAAACAAATTGTTCTGTTGAAATATGTAGCTTTTCAAAGAACTAAAAATGAGCTTCATTTCCTTTTTTTATTTTTAAAAAGGTGCTTATCATGTGCAGCCACGTCCTTTGATTTTTAATCCTCCTCCTCCACCACAGTTTCAGAGTGTTTGGAATAATCCAAACAGTGAAACTTATGTGCAGCCTCCAACCATGATGAGTCCTATAACTCAGTATGTTCAGGTAAGAATTGTTTGCCTTCCCACCCCTCATTTATTATAGTTTTCTTAATCTCCAGAATTATATCCATAATTTTTATAATAGGTGATAATACAGTCTATTTTGGAATACTTTGAATAATGGGAAATCTGTCACTTTTTTACAAATCTCTCCTTCTTAGTGTTTCTCCTTAAACTAAGAAATACTTTCATGTAGTGTGTAAGCCTTTATCTTAACAACCTCTGTAGCTACATAAAATAAATCCCCCCTTTGATGCTTCCTAAAATATTTGAAGGCAAGTTTTCTTTCTTTTTATGTCTGCCCAGTTTATTCTCTAAGGCTATGGGTTCTTCTAGCCATTTCTTATTTCTGGATACTTCAACATACAAATTACTGACTTCTGGATTTATTCTACTTCTGGAATGTGTAGATTTGTGATGTATTTTACTGTATCTATAAACTGAGTTTCTGATGTAATTTGTCTGCTCCTAGTTAATATTTAAATTAGAGTTTAACATACTACTGCCTATTGATAATAAATAACATTGGTTTTCTTAATTCATTTTCCTTTTTTCAGTTTGAAAAACTTCCAGGAAAGAAGCAACTAATAGTGAAATAATTCAGCACTATCTCTTAATTTGTCTAATTTTTCCATCTGCCTGAAATAAGGGGTGTATCTATACTTACTTTTCTTATTCTAAACATAACTAGAAAGGGCCTACTTGTTTCTAACATTTACTGTGAACTATTACAGAGTTTAGGTACTCATGTATGCCACTACTTACATGTTTTCAGGTCAATAAACAGAAGCATATGAGACTTTTTAGTATTATCTGTTTTCTAATTTTGGATTAAATGGTTCTGAATTTTTGGAAATAAAATGCAGAAAAACACTTAAGATTGAAGGAGTACTACAAATTTCCCATTAATATTGTCAAATTAATACAAAACTGTCTAAAAGTATTTTTCATAAAGAACTGACGGGTGTATTCGTTTAAATTACATGGAAATCTGTCCTGTTCAAGCCTGATTGCCAGGGTAAGAATGAACGTCTGAGTAGGGATGAATATACTAAATAAGGTAAATGGAGCCTTGCAAAGCCAGTCACTCTGCCTTGTCATTTATCCCTTTTCCCTTGCCCAAAAAGGCAGAGAAAAAGTGTATCGTTTTCTCCATGAAGCCAGTCACCATTTAGAATCTGCAATTATACATAGAAAAGTAATATTTCCATGTTTCTTTTAGGAATAATATTTTTCTTTTTTTTTCTTTTATTGAGTTTATTGGTACATTTTGTATCCTATTTTAATTTTTTTCTATTTCTTTTTTGTATCTCCCATAACTTTGTAGTTCAGTTATTTCATACATTAATATTTATAACATATCTTCTTTGTGTAAACATGATCACTTTGATCTATTTTTGTCTTTTTTTTTTTTTTTTTGGTACCAGGGATTGAACTCTGGTCCTTGCACTTGCAAGGCAGGCCACCGAACTGTTGAGCTAAATCTCCAACCCTGTCATATTTTTTTTCTTTTCCCTTATTACCTTTCCCCTACCCTTCCCATTTTCCCTACACCTTTAGCGCTTTTCTTCCTACTTCACATGGTCAATTATGAATAATATTTTTTCTGATTTAAAAAATTTCTCTTTGTAAATTTTTTCTGTAAATTTTGTTTTCAGGCATATCCTCCTTATCCAAATTCACCAGTTCAAGTCATCACTGGTTATCAACTGCCTGTTTATAATTATCAGGTAATTTAAGAGGGAACAAAATGGCTAATACTGGAATAATTTTATGGCATTGAATTTATTTATATAAATTTCCCAAATGTGTGTTGTTTAAACTAGTAAAGTGTGCCTACAATTAAAGGAAAACAAGCGTTTGTCTAGAATTAAGACTTCTGTTATTCATTCCAATTATTTAAAAATAATAGGATGATATTTGACTAGGAAAGAACTTTCTCTAGAACAGTTTTCTAAGATTTGGAATCTCCTATTTTATTTCCCATAATCTTCCATTATCAATATCAAATAGCCAAAACATCCAGGCTGACTGTCATAAAAAAATTTAGGAGGATAGGTTGAAATAAATTTATTATCTAATTCTTAAGAGCCTAAAATTCTAATTATATTTGATAATTATTTATTTTTACTGGCAGCTACAAAATAGTTTTGTGAATTTCTTCCCATAGATATGGCTATATTTATGACTTATAACCATGCCTGTGGTATTAATTTCAAGATACCACAAGTTTTCCCGAATGTTAGCAGTAGAAAACAGAAAAAGTTAGAGTTTATATATGGAAATAATATAACCACAAGTATTAGAGACATAAAGTATTTCTGTATTCTATGTTATAACAATATACTTTTTGGGGGGGTACTGGGGATCAAACTCAGGACCTTGTGCTTTCAAGTATAGATACTTTAATATTGTCTATCTCCTGGCTTTGTTAAAACAAATACAAATATTTGAATAAGTTTTGTGCCTTTTTTTAAAGATGCCGCCACAGTGGCCTGCTGGGGAACAAAGGAGTTACGTTATACCTCCGGTAAAATGAATTAACTAAATGTATATGCTTATACCACCAGTAAAATGAATTAACTAAATGTATATGCTTCTAGTCTTCATTTTAAAGTGTTTTCTTGTTTATTGTAATTTCTTGAACTTTTGCTGTGTCATATATTTCTGTAGATATTTTTTAATCCCCTTTATAGTATTATACTTCATTATTTTTTGTTAACATAATTATATACTCCACCAGAGAGATCAGTAGTGCTTTTTCTTGGTTTCATATGCTTTAGCAGTGGCTATTCTGTATATGATAAGTGCTTGGTTACTTATTGATAAACTATAATCCAAATAGTGTGAATATGGATTTAGACTTAGCACTACCTTACTACATAGTGGTTTTTCTAGATTCTAATTCTGATTATGTTGACACTTAAAGACCTTTTATAGTAAAAGACTGCATTTCAGCCATTCACTTTCAGTTTCTGAAATAATGTTTTAATATAAACTACATTAAAACTTTTACTATCAGCTCATCATTTTGAGAATAGATTACATAGAAATGTACCTGTATATCTTTTTAATTACAATTTTATCACTTTAAATACAGGCTTATACAACTGTTAACTACCACTATAATGAAGTCGATCCAGGAGCTGAAGTTTTGCCAAATGACTGCTCAGTTCATGAAGCTACTTTGTCCTCTGGAAATGGCCCACAGAAGGCAAACGTCTAATTTTGTTTACTGATAATTATATTATATATTTATTTTTCAATTTTTAATAATAACTTTAAGAAGCAGGCATCTTTATCCAGATTTAAAGGTGGAAACCATAAACTTCAGGGCTTAAGTAATCTACTAACATTTAGCTATTAATATAAAGGTTAATGAAATTTGAAACAGTATATATACTTGGTTTCTAATTCAGTGATCTTTTCCAGTTTTATTGTTTCTTATTTTTTTAAAAATCTTACTTTAGTAAATATTATAGCAGTATAATTTGGCAGAATGCAATGGGAAGATTTCCATGAAAACTGTAGTCCTTGAAAGAACAATCAGTATGAACACTGTCCACCTTATCTTTCATAAACATTTACTTAGCTAAATAGTACTAGATAATATTTAAGGTGTTCTTTCCATAACATGACAGGAGCTCTCAAGAGTGATGGGGTCAGCATTAATTGTTGAAATACTGAAGTAGGCATAGTTGGGTTTTTGAAAGAGTGAATTCCTATCATAATAATACATTCACTCTGGAATTTTTTATATGATGAATGGGTAGATATGTGAATGCCCTCAATGTGCTGAAAGCATGCATAATACTGATCATTTTTTTTTCAGTAAAAAAAATTGAGAACTAAACTACAGGCTAAATTCTCTGATACACAATTTTAAAATTGGAAAAAATTAAAATAGTTTATAATACAATTACATTATCAAGTTTTGTCTTGAATATTTTTCTTGAAACTAATATTAGAGTTTCTAGTTCTTGTCTAACAGGAGAAATTAAAGACTCTTAAGTAAAATACCACAATGTTTTAATAAAATCAGCTTTTAAAACCAGTATTCTGTCAGTAAGGTTATGAGACATTTCTTTAAAAATTTGGGAGAAAATGTACATACTAATATGTGGTAAGAATTTTGAATCATGCAAAAATTCTTAAAAATAACTATATATTTGCTAATATTTAAAAAATAAAGCCCTTAACCATAAATAAAAGAAGTCTGTATTATAAACTTTGGTTATTTCAGAAATCTGTGGACCGAAGCATTCAGACAGTAGTATCTTGTCTGTTTAATCCGGAGAATAGACTGAGAAACACTCTTGTTACTCAGGATGACTACTTCAAGGTATGAAAGGAACAACAGTATGAGAGATTTTAAAAAGTACACATGTTAGCGTTGAAGTATCTTTTTTTTTCTTTGTAGTATATGTATTTTAGTATTACGAGTTGATATTTTACTATAACCTAGTAATCTACTGTGACTGGGGTTTACCTAGCAGTGTTTTTGTAGTGCTCAAAGTTTGTCTTTAGGAAAGAGCACTGTAGCAAAAGCTTGTAATTTATAGAGTTCATAAGAGAAGACAACTGAGGGAAAATACTGGCTTAATCAAATAATGCGACAGAATTTTAGAAAGCAGAAGGTAATAATACGAATATTGGACTAAATAGGACAAAAGAGGTGAACTTCTTGAATAATAAAGAAGTGATAAAATTGAACCAGTTAGAGCTGAGTAGAAACAAATGGAAGATGATTCATAGTTGGTAAAGTGAGAGTATGGATACTTGAGTTTAAGAAAGGTCTTGTTTGTAATTCTGCTACTTCTACTGGTTTCCAATTCTGTACACAAGGTGGACAGATCACTTAAATCATTTTTTTAATATTTTTTCAGCTTTATTTGAGTTTATTGGTACATTTTAGGGATATAGTACAGTTACATTCATTGTTGGGATCTTGTACCTCTACGTGACAAGTCTAGATTCTCATTTTTCCCCTTACCCCTGCCCTCCCTTCACCCCCTCCTCCCTTCCCCATCTACAAACACTTTATTGTCATCTTTTCATTATCTCATATTTTTTTTTCTTTTCTCTTATTACCCTTCCCCCAACCCATCTCACCTTCCCTACACCTTTAGCTCCTTTCTTCTCATTTCTAAATGACAGTAATCTTATTAGGATCTTATGTTTTATTGCAGATTATTCACACCGGGGAAACTATTTGGTGTTTACACATGTGTGACTTATTTATTTCACTTAGGAGTATATCTTCAATATGTATCCATTTTCCTATGAATGAATCTATTTTCTCATTCTTTATGGCTGAGTAATATTTCATTTTATAGAAAAACCGCATCTTCTTTATCCAGTTTTCAACTTTATTAACACTCCAGGGGTGTGTGTGTGTGTGTGTGTGTGTGTGTGTGTGTGTGTGTGTTGGTTGGTGCTAGCAGTTAAACTTAGGGCCACCTGCATGCTGAGCATGTACTCTGCCAATGAGCTTTTGCATCCATTCCTAAAATTCCAGTGTTTAGAATTCTGAACTGAAGGACACACAAGAATAAAGCTCTCTTAAGGTCGAATGGGAAGGAATATTGTGTTTGGTAGGGGAAGATTTTTTTTTAGTAGAATGGTAACTCCATACTCATTGTTAACTGATTCCGGGAGGCACAACAAGTACCAAAAATGACTACCAAACAAATTGTTTTGACTGAAAAGGCTAATGAGTTATGAGCCATTTGATACTAACAAGTTCTAGCTTGCTTATACAGTACCAAATGACAAATAGTGGGACAAAATTAGCCTTTTGAGGAACTCTCAGGATTTGTCCAAAAGTGTCTGCACCACTTAACACTCAAAAGGAAGCTTTTAGCTATTACTTTTGTTACTTCAAACAGGAGAATAGCTTTGATTCTATGTATGAGTGGATACGGAGTGAAGCTTAAAGCTTTTTTCATAGTTATATCAAGGGTATCTTATAATGTAGAAGAGAAGAGCCGTAGCTAGATTAAGTTCTACATTTTTGCAACAGGAAATAAGCACATTCATTTTAAGTTGACATTTGTTCTTTAGTTGCTGCATTCATATAGTACAATATAGGTAGAGCTGAGGTTGATGACAGCTTATTTTGCCCACAGTTACAAAGATTAAATAGGTACTTACTTAAATGATTCATTTCAAAGCAGAAAATTCTGTGCATTTGAAATTGTCATCTGGTATTAAACAAAACTCTTCCTTTGAACTCCAAAGTTTTCTGCTCTTCTGGGCTATAATTCAGAAATCGGCAGCCTACAGTTGTCTGACATCTAGATCTGTTTTAATTGACTAAATGTTGTTTTATTGAAATTGAATGCATCCAGATATTTGGATATATTTACTATTTCCATTGTAAAATCCACCCTTTGTTGTCTGAAGTCCAGCCCAAAACAATCTTAGGTTTCCTACTCAACTTCTGAAAATACAAGTTTGTGGCCCCTTTTCTAGACTTAGAAGAGTTAGGATATTACCCTGTTAGGTTACATAATTTAGAAAAGTCACCCTTTTTTATATATCTGAATTTAATCCCTAGAAAAAAAGCACCTTTAAACTAATTGTTTAGAGAAGAAAATACCATTGTCATTGCTGGTTTATAGCCCCTTTCCTATTTCTAAAACTTTTTTTTCTAAGATTTTTTCTTACCGTTATTTCTTAAATATCATAGCATAACAAACAATTGCCTCAGAGTTTACATTGTGTTAGTTATTACAGGTAACCAAGAGAGGGTTTAAAATACATAGGACATGCTGGGAATGTACCTCAGTGGTACAGTTCATGACTAGTATGCTTGTGACCCTGAATTCTATTCTAGCACCACACAAAATATATACATACAATCCCCCATGCCAGTAATATGCAAATACCACATAATTATATATAAGAGACTTGAGCATCCTTGGATTTTGTCATCCATAGCATTTCCTGTAACCAGTCCCATCAAGAGAACAACTGAGTTTTAAATGTTTCTCTTCATTTCCTAAGTAATAATACATTTTCATAGGTTAAAGATACACTTTTAAATTACTCAAAACTTAGATCTTTTAGCCTACAACCATAGGGTTTCAAATTGAAGTGGAGCGCTGTTCTCAGACTATAATGTCTAACAGATGCAGGCCAGTTACTAAAAACAATACTTTTATGATATATATATATAATTTTTTCACCAGCTGTCAGTAGGGATACCATTGCCAAATCATTAAGAAATACCTAATGTGGTACTGAACCTAAGTCTTCTGTTTCAGAGTTTATTAGCCAGTCTTGATGCATTTGTTGTTGCAAAGTTCAGTGATGTTTCCCCAGAAGGATCACCTTTTTTCCTTATTATTTGTAATATTTAAGCCTGAAATAAATGTGTTCGATATTTTGTAACTTTTTAGGTCAATAATGATGATGGGAAATTTTCAGTGAAATAATAAGACTTTTCTGTTTTTTCTAGGATAAAAGAGTTCACTTCAGAAGAAGTCGCACAGTGCTTAAATCTGATCATCTCTGCTAACTTTCTAGTCTCAGGAAGTTGCTGGTTTTGAATATGAAGTCACTGAAAGTTGCTACTATACATATTTAATTCTAAAAGTTTGACAAACCATATTCAGACAAGTTATATTAGATGTCTAGTTTTACTTAACATTGAAACTTCCTCATTAGGTATTTTCTTAGAAACTCGTTCTGTGTTCAATACATAGTTGAAAGTAAAAAATAATTGAAGTAAAAAAGTTTCAAATTACAAAATAGTTGAAAGGAATAGCTTAAGGTTAAACTGTAAAGATTTTAAAAGTTGAAATTGTCATCTTCAGAGTTTAAAAGCTTAATACTTGGCTGGGGATTTAGCTGAGCGACACTGCACCTGTCTCAACAAGTGCAAGGTCCTGAATTCAATCCCTGGTACAAAAAGAAAAAAAAAAACCTAATACTTATTTTCAAAAATTGTTTTAAAAATCTATTTTGAAAGGTCAGAAATTTGATAGTTTAAATACAAGTATTTCACTTCAACAAGTACTTGTACATTGTTTTCACTATTGTGCTTTACATTTATGATCTGTCTAAAATTCACAAAAGCAAAATTTTTAAAACTGCATTTTTAATCAGTGGAACTCAATATATGGTTAGCTTTATTAAAATCTTTGTAACATAAACCCAGTAAAATAGATTCTAAACAAACAGTCCAATCAGTGGGTCTTATTACATTTATTGAAAATATTTTATCCCTTATCTAGAATCTACACATATACGTATACATATTTTATATGATTGGGATGATAATTAGGATAATTCAAATTCTGGGCCTAATTTTTTTTTAGAGAATCCACTACAAACTAGTAGGCACATAAGCTTCTTAGTTAAACATTCTCCTTTTTTCTTTTAAATTTTTTCTTTGAAATGCTAAACTCAATGGCTGTATTTTAAATTGTGCAAAATACTGGTATTAAAGAATGCTGAAATTTTTTTATGTGACTTAAAAGTTAATCAGAGTATCTGAAAATTGTTTTTATAAAAACATTAAAATATAATTATAAGTAAATTTTTATTTTCTTAGGATATTGTATTTCCTTTTGAAAAGTAACATGTGTCCCAAAGAGTGAAAGGGTAGGTAATTTTGGCATTTCTAAACCATAAAAGAAGTTTTATAAGTGTATCCAAGAATATACTAGAGTCAGACTTAACAGTCTGTCACTAGTTTAGCTGGTTTCTTTATTGGACATTGTACATCGTGACAGACAGCTAGAGCTGCCATTGTACCCACAGGCTTGCTTTTCCAATATGTACTTCATCCTTCCCGGAAGTTTGCTCCTAGAACTGGTGGCATGAGCAGTTTGAGGGCTAAGTCTTGGAAGGTAGCAGTGTGATAATACCTTTCTAAGGGAAAAGGTTGTATTGGCATCATTTAACCTGCCATGGATTTGAGTCTAAAGTGCCTTCATGGTCTCTTTTAGATTGACTTCTTCCCTAAAACATGGAGATTCCACTTACCTTAAACTGATGTAAACTACCTTGGGCTGTGTGCCATCAGTGCCCTATAATTCTTAATATTCATTCTGGATCTGAAAGATGGAGTCTTACAGGTTCTGCAAGAAGACTTTATACACCTCAGAAAGTGCCCTAAAATTTGTCTTTTTAAAAATTATCTGCCCTTTTTGGGAGGGGAGGGGGCTAGCATATTTTTACATGTATTATTCTGTGATTAAATCTCCAGCTTACTATAAATGATACCTAAATTCTAAGGAGCCGATTCTTTTTGTTCCAGTATGACCTTATTTAAAAGTAAGGAAACAAACTTTTATTTGTATATTTTGTTGGAGTGAAATTTTAAGAGTAAAGTAGAAAGAAGAGACCTTTCAAAATGGAAGATTAATTTTAAATTTAAAATAAGTTCCTGTTATCACTAATACTATCTTTGCATAAATGAATAAAACTTTTTCAAAAGTATCTTTGACCTACTTGATGTCATTATCTAAAGAAACAGTGGAGAATAGAGTAGTTAGTGTGGGACAAAGTTTAGATCCTTGAGATTTGAAAGTATAAATACTGTTTAGTTTATTAAAAGAGCAGACTTAAGGCCAGGGATTTAGCTCAGTGATTCCGCCACCTGCCTCACAAGCGCAAGGTCCTGAGTTTGATCCCTGATTAAAAAAAACACACATTTAGCTTATAAAAGAAAATTTTAGTTTATTTTGATTTCTCTTGCAAGAAATATGTGTGCATAGATGTATACATGTGTGCATAGCTATACATAAACATTTTTTTTATAGAACAGCCTCTCCTTTGTTGCATTGGAAATGGTTAACAGTGAGTTCCACTATAGTACATGAACATAGTACCTAGTAAGAATACTGGAGAACACATCTGACTAAATTCCTATGACCAAAATCCTAATTTTGGACCTTATGAATTTTGATTGGGGAGGGTACCAGGGTTCGAACTTGGATCCTTGCACTTACAAGGCAGGCAGCGGAACTACTGAGCTAAATCCCTGGCCCATTATGAAATATTTTGTCTGCCTCATACTTGGGGCATAATTTATGATCCTTTTGGGGTATTGTGGTTGTCCAATAGAGCTTAAAGAGTTTTCATATTTGATTCATTGCATATAAGAGTGCATTCAAAATACCAATATTTACTACCTCTTCCAGTTGTAGTTCTAGTAGTCTTTTCTAACAGGCTATGGAAGAAATTCTCCCCTCTAGACATCTGTGGACTCTATTTCATCAGTTAGCCCTTATTAATTGGTTCATTATCAGAAATTGGACTGGGACACTAAGGTTGTACAAGGTACAAGAGTAGTTTCAGATCTCCAGATTAAATTTTGATGTTTATTGTATAATCACAAAGTAATTCTTATATATGCATGTGTATATTTGTACATCCACATATGCATAATTTTACTAGTGTATAATAATTTGAGACAGCAAAATTAAGATTACAAATACTTTTTAAAAGTTTTAAACTGCTTTGAGTATATTTGCTGTTGAGGGTTACAACAAAGTTCTCAGAACTTTGAGTTTAAAAATTCTATACAGAGCCGGGGATTTAGTTCAGAGGTTTGGTGGCCTGCCTTGCAAGCGCAAGGACCCAAGTTCAATCCCTGGTATGAAAAAAAAAGAAAGAAAAAGAAATAGATACCAGCAAAAATTCTATACAGCACTTTTCAATAGAAAAATTGGAGTCAAGCAAAATAAAAACTCTGAATAAGTTGATCTTTAAAAAAAGTTCCTTTGTAATTGTTGTAACACTTCAAAATTTATATCCTTATCATAAGAAAACCATTTCTTTAAAAAGTAAATACTCCACAGGATTTCTTGTAGCTGTAAACCCCTCTACCTGCTTGAAAACCTTCTTGGTTTTCTGTAAATGTAAAAAAAAAAAAAAATGGACTGCTCCATTGCCTAATCACTTCGCTTGGTGTCCTTGCTGTTGTTTGAGGGTAATAAGGAGCAGCAGTGACAAGATAGTATACTGTTCTGCTTTCACAAAGATGGCAATAGAGGGTGGGAAGCCATAAGAGGTGTGAAAACGGCAGTTTTTTCTATTGACCAAGTCTTGAAAATAGGGCCAGCTGTTGAGTATGATAATTTGGAATCCCTGAAACACTTTTTTTAGATGAGGATTGCTCCTCTACATATTTTGAAAACTAATCTAGTCCTTCCCAACATTATGTGTAATATGTCTGTGTAAGTGTGTAACTGATACTTTTGGGCAATTCCTCATCACCCATCAAAGACTGAGTTTTCCATATGTAGGCAGTACATTTGGTGGTAGAATACAATAAGCATAAGAAGTTTAGACTATAAACATGCACTTTGAATGCTCATGCAAAATATTCAATCTGCATAGCAAAGAAATGATAGGTAGTTCTGCATTGCTTTTAGAGTTAAACATCTGTCCAATATGGCTATAGCTGTAGGCCAATTCCAAGAATGCAAAATAACTGTCTCCTGGTATTGAAGTTGAAAGTACCACTGTACAATTAAGCTATATGGTAGCTATATTTCACATTTTTAACTGGTTTGAAAGTTTTCTAGTTGAGTCTCTAGTTCATTTTCCCAAGGCAAGACTTTGTGTCTGTGCACCTCCAGTAGGGCTGCATGCTAGGAATGTGCTTTTTCCCACAAGTAAAACTCCCAGGTACCAGTTCTAGGTCTTTAACAGCAGAATAAATGCTTATATGACTGGGACATTTGGGTCATAAACCCTCTTTAGAAACTTGAAGTAACAGTATCATTTGAAGCAGTTCAGAAAGTTCTAGGCTTTATAATCCTTAATTGGTTTTTTTTTTTTTTTTTGTGCTGGGGATCGAACTCAGGACCTTGCTCTTAACAAAACAGGTGGCAGAACCACTGAGCTAAATCCCCAGCCTTAATTGGCTCTTAATTACAGAGTAAATCTAGCAAAAATACATTAAGTCTGTAATCACATCTTTTGTCTTCCTGAAAGATAAACACAGTGTTCTGGCTCAATCTTGGTTGAAGTATTTATTATAGAAGAAAGCTGACAATTGATCTTTACCAATACTGTCAGGCCAACTGTTTACAATGAACGTGTCCCCTCAGCCTTTGTACATTTATTAAACATTTTTGACTACCAATAATTATGTGTCTGAGCCAGTGAGAATGGAGAGGTGATTTAAAATTTGTCTTCATCTTTACTTGTTAATCTCTGTCTAGTGTTTGAGTTGCTTTAAGTAAAATCCGAACAGTTTTTAAACCATAAATATGTAAGAAAATTTTAACTGCCCTTTTTTCTGACTTGCTGCCTTATTTTGACTGTTGGTATATATATCAGTCAAAATAAAAACGTATCCACTATCCAAGATTATATCCATGATTAGCTCAGACCAGTATTTGATAAGCAAATTTCCTCAGTGATAATAAACTCAGAAGTCAGTATCAGAACCACCATTGGAGATGCTTTTCAGGAATGCAGACTCTTGAATCCCATTCTCAGAAAATCCTACTCTGAAGGTCTGGTGAGCCTAAACATCTGCATTTTGAAGAAGTGTCCCAAATGAGTCTCATCTGTGCAACATGCACTTAGAAGTACTGCCCTAATGAGGATCTCAGTATTATCTCAGGCTATCTACTCATGGTTTTAGGG